AACTATCCAAGGGAGAAAATAACAGTGCTGCTACTTTTTCTTCTGCTCTACCCATTGTCGTTGCTGCTGCTTATACCTACATGCAGCGGAGAAGACCAGAGAATGTTGGGGGGCAGCCGCGGCAGCTCTAAGAGGCCGCTGGATTTGCTGCTGCTCCCCCAAATGCCTCCTAAGAAACTCGACCCGCTTAGCTGCAGCAGCAGCAGCAGCAGCAGCAGCAGCAGCAGCAGCAGCAGCAGCAGGAGCAACAGCAGCAGCAACGTCGTTCATATCACCGGCAGCAATAGTGTCATCATCAGCAGCAGTAGCAGCAGCAGCTCTAGCAGCAACAACAGCAGCAGTAACAGCAGCAACAGCAGCAGCAGTAACAGCAGCACCATCAGCAACAGCAGCAGCAGCAGCAGCAGCAGCAACAGCAGCAGCAGCAGCAGCAGCAGTCTTACATGCCAGAGTCTAACAGCTGACTCAGCGACAGAGTAAGAAGCAATCCAGTTGCCGTCTTCACTAAACCCTAACGCAGACACTGCCCCTGCAGCACCACACAAACCCTAAACCCTAAACCCTAAACCCTAAACCCTTGATCCTAAATTGTAAGCCCTAAAACAAAGAGAAAGACTCAACTATCAACATATATTCTAAAACCCTAAACCCTAAACCCTAAACCCTAAACCATAGAAAAAGACAGAGAACAGAACAGAGAGTATAGCACCTACTATCAACACTAGGGTTTAGGGTTTAGGGTTTAGGGTTTAGGGTTTAGGGTTTGGGGCTTGCCTTGGTGCCCTTCAAAAACCCTCATCTTTGTGGCTGTTCTCAGATCGTAAGCAACGACGACACCATCCTCTGTCCCCACCGCCAGCCTGCACACCAAACCCTAAACCCTAAACCCTAAACCCTAAACCCTAAACCCTAAACCATAAACCATAAACCCTAAACCCTGAAGCCCTGCAGTCAGTGCTGTGCAAGGCTCACAAGCCGTATACTTCCGCCTCAGCCCCACCCCATAAACCCTAAG